GTTGATATCTTTGGAGGGAGTCAAATGACAAGATTACTATATTCTAAATAACGGATTGGAAGTTATGCTAAAAGTTTCTTGTGAAAAACTTTTATTAATAGAACCAGAAGGTTAAATAGATGTATTATTTAGACCTTAGTTTGTAGTTTAAATGTGACTACGTGGGTGGATTGAAAGCTACTAAGAATCCAGAACTTTTCATTGAAAACCACTAAGAAAAAGAGAATAATTAGGGCTCGTTTGGTAACATTCCCGTTTCTCGTTTTTCGTTTCCAATTTTCTTCAGAAATCTAAGCATTTTGCAACTAACTTTGTTTTCTTATTTCTCCTTATTTGGGAACATTATGTATAGAAATTTTGAAAACAATCGAAACAAGTTTCTTCTTTCTTGTTCTCATTCCACTTTGTTTTAAAACATAACTAAAAAGATTGTTTTATCATACTTGAATTCATGGATGTTGGACCGATTAAAAATGAAGAAACGGGAACAAGAAACAATGTTGCCGAACAAGGCATTGGCAAATCGGGTCTTGAAACAATCTATTTTGGTATAACAATATATATATTGTTAATGTCTTTCTATATAATTTAAATTCTCTTTTTTAAATAATAGTTATCTTTTATTTGTCACATCAAATTTAATTTGATTCTTTGAACGAGAGTCACCTATATATTTGGTCAAAATATATAAAGTTGGCCTACCTTAATCTTCTCGCATTAATTCTTTGTTTTTCTCTCTCTTATATAAGAGAAATTGGAGACCAATTGAGGTTGGAAGTCAGAGAAAATTTGTTTGAGAGTAAAATATACAAGTGTGTTTCATTTTATACTTTACATCATTTAGGGTGATAGAGTTCAAATGTTCACTTACTCAAGACAATGTTTTCTTGAGGATAAATTAAAGCTCAAATTGCAACATTTGGTGTTTATAAAATTTTATTAATTTAGAAATTAATTCTGAATTTTATAATTTCTGCAATAAATTAAATCTAGAATTTGTAACCCATTTTGCTAACATGAGTTTAGCTTAATGGTAATTGGCAGAAATCTCCTTCCTCTTCAATTTTCTTACAATTTCCTTATTAAGAAGAAGTAAACAAACGRGAGAGAGAAGATTTTTATTTTTCTTCGTAATACACTTAAACTCTTGAAAACAAAAAATAAAAAGGAGAAAAAAAGAAAGAAAAGGGCTTCAACATTATCCGTTTATGCAAGAATTTGCACAACGGATCTTAAGCTCGAACCCAGTCCTCGCTCCGACCCAAAAGACGACGGGAAAACCTGCACAAGAGGGTAAAATCTACGACGCTCAAGTCAGTAAGTAGCTCGGACTCATTATTAAGTTCGAGGAGAAAATCGATACCTGATGGTGAAATGAGGTCCTCTATTTATAAGTTTAGGTCCCGACATGGGTTATGACAGACAGTTTCCTTGGTCAGTTTTGAGGTCGGACGAGTCGGGCTCGAGTAGATCGAACTCGGATATTTTCGATGTTGCAGTTCTATTAGGGGTAATGAACTTCCCTCCTCGGAAGGTTCCGAGGAGGAGCTTTGCTGAACAATTCTCTCAAACCATCTATTCTAATAGCCAATCTTTGTCCTCCACGTGGCAATTAGATATTTTATCCCCGAACATCAGCCCCCTCTCTGCCGGGTTCGACCTCGACCTAGCAGAGAAGTTTGTTGTTGTTTTTACTTATCATCTTTGAGAAGAACAATCCACGTGCTGACTTTCAATCTCAATTTATTAATTATGTCGTTGGGGGATCTCGAAAGCAGAACCGACGTTCGGCGTGCACTCGAGTACTTGCGACGTTTGGAATTCTTCTGATCTGGGACGTCTGTTTTCTGACACGTGTGCGGCTGAGATTAAACTTCGGGTTGCTATAAATACCTCCAAGGTTCCGTTTCCACTTTTTATGCTATAAGAAATCTTGGAGTCCGACCTGATCAGATCGGAATCCTTGATTTAGGTCAATTTTGTTCTTTCGATTTTGTTTCTCTTACTCTCTCCTTTTACTTTTCGAGTCATGTCGGAGTTCTCTAGTTCATCCTCCCTTAGTAGCTCATCTGTGACGTAGCTCAGAATCAAGACTTTTCGCTTAAGAAAGCCAATTCTGTAGAGGAGTTCGCTAGTAGGTTAGATTTCGAACTGGAGGAGGAAGAGATAGAAAACTTTAGGTTTTCTGATGATCACGGGGATGATAGTGACATGTCCACCTCGGGTGAAGGTTTATCATATCCTTCCCAAATGCCTGAGAACTACCTTGGCCCTCTTCGTAGGAGATATAGCATACCCGATGACATAACCCTTAGGCTTCCCAGGGAAGGAGAGAGAGCTGATAATCCTCCAAACGGGTGCGTAACCCTTTACTTGAAAATGTTCGAGTATGGGTTCCATCTTCCCATTCACCATTTAGTGTAGGAGTTTTTGTTCCGAACCGGACTAACTCCTATGCAAGTGGCCCCCAACGGATGGGGAGTTGTCTTTGGTCTCGCCATGTTATTCTGGCTTAGGTGTAGAGAAGTGGACGACCTGGACCTCCTCAAAGTTGATCAACTTTTGGCTTGCTTCGAAGTTAAGCGAATTTCTCGAAGGCCAGAGAGGTACTATCTGTGCGCTAGGAAGGGCGCAGGAGGTATTTTGAAAAGGACCGACCTCCATAAAGAAGTGGGTTGGGAAGTGGTTCTTCGCCTCCAGATCGTGGCTGGCCAAGAACGAGTTCGACTTGTCCTTCCACAGCGTCTCCTATAGGTTCGGGAACTTAGGTAAAGGGTTGAGTCTTTCCTTGTTTTTAGTTTCTTTTGTTCATGGTCTAACCTATATCTTTGTCAGTTTCAGTTGCTATTCGGCCGATTCCTTGACTCTTTGAGCCGGCCTTCAACGCCTTGAAATTTTTCAAAGATATATTCAAGAGTGGAAAGCAGATCAATACCCTTATAACAGATAAACTTCTCCTTGCCTCATGACTCCTTGACTACAACCCTCGCTTATCTCCGCCTGAAGCTCATAGACCGAACTCCGAACTAGGTGAGTCGCCTTCGCTCGTTGTCCTTCTTAGACACATTTTGCACCCTTCGGTTCTAATCCGCAATTATTTCCCTTTGCAGCGATGGTTTGTGGCTTTTCTCAAAGCTTGAAGCGCAAACGCCCGAGCGCTAAAAAAGTTGCCAAAAGCATTGAGGCGCCTAGCCCCGTGGTAGTCGACCTTCCTGCCGAGGTCGAGGTGGTCGGGGCTGACCTTGCTGCTGCTTCATCTCAGGGAGCAGTTGCGGTTGGGACCTCGCAGGATCAGGAGATCCTCGAGGTCTCTCCCCTAAGGGAGATTAAGAAGAAGGCTTCTCCCAAGAAGTACAAAAAGAAGAAGAAAAAGACCCACCACTCCGGGGACGAAGTGAGGGAGATGGGTGCTGGCCGGCGGGTCAGTCCTTTCGGGGACATAGTGGATGATCTTGAGGCCAGGATGGATGGCACCTCTGACCTTGAGATGAGGTTCAAGATCGAGTCATCAAGTGTTGGGGTGAGGGAGAGAGCCATGGAGATCTCCGGGTCTTGCTTTGACCGCTGTTGAAGGAGAGCTTCTAAGTTTGTTAGCGCTTCGGGATCAGCCATCCAATGATTGTTGGATTACACTATCGAGGTACGAGCTTGCCTTTTCCTTTTCCTCAAATTTTAATGGCCTCACCCTAGAAGATTTCCCTTTAACTCTCTTCCTTTTTTTTCGTTTGCCCACTTCGGCAAGCTCAAGCTGCAGCTTGCCAGACGACCCTCATGGTGAAGGCCGAACTAGAAGCGTGTGACTTGCTCACTGTGAAGGAGCGAGAAGCCTCCTCTGCTACTTTGGAGGCTGTTGCTGCTCTGGAGGGGGAGCTCAAAGAGGCTCGTGCGGAGGCTCAGGGGTGGAAATCCACTTCTGATGCTGATAAGGCTGAGCTCAAAAGTACCCAAGCAGAGGCTGCCCGACACCTAGAGAACTTGCGAGACGCGCATGCCGTGGCAAAGTGCCTGGAGAAGGAGAAGTTCACGTTGATGAAGCAGAACGACGACCTCAAACGTCTTTGAGATGACCTGGAGGGCAAACTGAAGGCCTGAGATGCCGAGATGGTAAAGCTGAGGGCCAAGCTTGAGCTATCTGAGTCCAAGCTCAGCAACGGAGTTTTGCTGGAGGAAGCTTTCAGCCAACATCCTGATTTTGATGGGTTCGCCAAAGATTTTACCGATGCTGGCTTCAAATTCCTGATGAAGGGAGTCCAGGAAGTGGCCCCCGAGCTCGACCTTACACCCATCAAACTGCGATATGCAAAGGAGTGGGCTTCGGGTCCCAATGGGACCCCTGGCCCCCAGCACCTCTTCGATCAATGCCTGAAGGAGCTTGACTCTGATGCCGAGCTCGACGAGGAAGAGGACGAGGACCCTTCTTCCTAAGACGCTATCGGGACTATTCTTCTGCTGTCGGTGTAAACTTCTCCCAAGAGGCTGGGGGGACAGACTCCCAAGAGGTTGACATCCTTGGGTCCCAAGGAGAGCTCGGATCGCATCTCGAAAGCAGCTAAAGCTCCTCCTCTTTCACAGCCTTTCTTGTGTTATTTTTAACTTTTTCCCTTTTTGTACTTGGTCGCGAGGCCTATATACCTCGGCCAGCACTTCTCTTTGCTAATACAACTTTGGATCAATTTTTGACTGTGTTACTTATTCCGTACTTGCGAGTCTATTGGGGTTCAGATAAATTCTTAATAACAAAATAATTATTAAATTATTTTAGCTTGTCTCTTACCTCGAACTCGTAAGTTCTTTCTAGAGATTTTTGAGTCTTACTAAGTTTTGATCCTCACCTCTGGCCTCCGTTTAATTTCACATCGAACTTGGTCCTTAAGGAGACATGAAATTAAATAATACGGAGTCCTTTAATGGGATTAGCCCTTGAAATTTTTTACAAGTCCAGTTCATATTTGGACCATTTTAACATTTCAAGGGTAATATCTCTTCAACTGTTCTACGTTCTATGGATGCGATAGTAACTTTCCTTCGAGGTCGGCAAGCATATATGTTCCAGGTCGGACAATGCCTTTGACTTCGAATGGCCCCTCCCAACTCGGTTCCAACACCTCGACGTGCTTCTGTACCTTGCGAAGGACTAGATATCCGATCTGGAAACTCCGAGATCGAACTCTCGAGTTATAGTGCCTTGCCATTTGGTTTTGGTACTCGGCCAAGCGCAGTTGGGCTGCTTCCCTTTTTTCATCGATGAGGTCAAGATACAAGAGTAATTCCTCCTCGTTCCTAACACGTTCGTAGTACTCAACCCTTTCGGTTGGCATACCGATCTCGACGAGCACCACAGCCTCGGAGCTAAAGGCCATAACGAATGGGGTTTCGCCAGTTGACTCCCGCGGCATAGTTTGGTAGGACCAGAGTACTTCAGGTAGCTCCTCCGCCCACCGTCCTTTCCTTGCGTCTAACCTTAGCTTAAGCCCGCGCTTAATGATTTTGTTGATTGTCTCTACTTGTCCGTTGGCCTTGGGATGAGATGGGGACGAGCAGAGGTGAGCAATTCCGAGCTTGCGACCAAAGTCTTTAAACTTGGCGTTGTCGAATTGTTTGCCATTGTCTGTCACAATGGCATTAGGTATGCCGAAGCGACACACAACGTTTGTCCAGATAAAGCTTGTGACCCTAGCCTCCGTGATTGTCGAGAGTGCTTCAGCCTCAGCCCATTTGGTGAAGTAGTCTACTGCAACGACTGCGTACTTTGTCTGTCCCTTGTGCAACGGGAAATGCCCAATAAGGTCAATTCCCCATTGCGCAAAGGGTCATGGTGCCGAAATCAGAGTTAGCAGCTCGACAGGTTGGTGGACGAGGTTTGAAAAGCGTTGACAGTTGTCACATACTTTCACAAACTCCTTTGCATCCCGATCCATCATGGGCCAGTAGTATCCTTGACAAACGACTTTTACTGGCAAAGACCTAGCCCCTGAATGGTTACCGCAGACGCCTTCATGAACTTCCCTAGAAACATATTCTCCATCCTCCTTGAAAATACACTTCAGGAGGGGTAGGGAAAAACCGCACCGGTATAGTGTTCCATTTCGGAGCATGTACCGAGCTTCTTTCCTTGCCATCCTCTTGGTCTCCTTTAAGTCTGTCGAGACCTTTCCCTCCAGGAAATCCTTTATCGGATCCATCACAACGGAGGGTGAGAGTGAGCTCCATCACGTCTGGCTCCAAGATAGAGGGATTGTCCAAAATCTCTACGGGGACCGACCTTGCCAAATCGGTCTCGTATGCTAACGCTAATTTGGCAAGGCGTCCGCGTTGGAGTTTTGTGACCTCAGAATCTGACTGATTTCACAGGCTTGGAAGTAGGCAAGGTGCGACTTGACCTTTTCTAGATATTTCTCCATCCGAGGGTCTTTCGTCTGATATTCTTCTTTGATCTGATTCACTATCAGTTGTGAATCACTGAAAATTAGAAGATGGGTGGCCTCCAGCCCTCTTGCCATGCACAGTCTGGCCAACAGGGCTTCGTACTCGGCCTCATTGTTCGAAGTGCGATAGTTGAAGCGCAGGACGTACTCAAAGCGTATGCCATCTGAGGCGAGGAGAAGCACACCTGCTCCGCACCCTTTCTCATTCAAAGACCCATCCACGTACATCGTCCATGACTGGTTGGGCAAGAAGGTTCGAGCTAATGGAGGAGTGAGCTCGGCTATGAAATCCGCGACGACTTGTCCCTTTACAGTCGTTCAAGGCTCGAATTGGATGTCGTACTCACTGAGTTCCACCACCCACTACATCAATCGTCCAGACATTTCTGGTTTGTGAAAAACCTGCTTTAAAGGCAAGTTAGTGAGTACGGTCACGGTATGTGCTTGGAAGTACGGTCTTAGTCTCCGTGTCGAGGTGACCAAGGCGAGGGCAAGCTTCTCCATCTAGGGATACCTTGTTTCGGCCTTGGTCATGGCTTTGCTCGTGTAATAGATAGGACTCTATCGTACTCCATCTTGTTTGATCAGGGCCGAGCTGACCGCGTTCTCTAAAACAGACAAGTGTAGTTTGTCTCCCGGCATTGGCTTTGCAAGCAATGGTGCCGATGAGAGACAGCCTTTGAGTCTTTCGAAAGTGGCCTCACACTCGTCTGTCCACTCGAATGGCCCCTTTGTCCTTAACACTTTAAAGAAGGGAATGCATTTGTCGGTAGACCTGGAAACAAACCGGTTGAGAGCGGCGATTCTCCCGTTAAGGCATTGTAGCTGCTTGAGGGTCCTCGACGCTTGCATCTCGAGAATGGCCTTTATCTTTTCTGGGTTCACCTCAATTCCATGGTTATTAACCAGAAACCCAAGGAACTTGCCAGATGAAACTCCAAAGGCATACTTGGCGGGATTCAGCTTCATCTGGTACTTTCACACTACCTCAAAGGTTTCAGTCAGGTCGGCCAGGTGCGACCTGGACTGCTTGCTTTTGACAAGCATGTCGTCCACATAGACTTCCATATTTCATCCGATCTAGCTGGCAAACATCTTATTCACCATTCTTTGGTAAGTCGCCCCTATGTTTTTCAATCCGAAGAGCATGACCTTGTAATAGTATAAACCTTGATCGGTTATGAAAGAAGTGTGAGCTTGATCTGACTCATGCATCTTGATTTGGTTGTACCCTGAGTAGGCATCCATAAACTTGAGCAGCTCGTGCCCGGCCGTAGCGTCCACGAGCTGGTCGATCCTTGGTAGTGGAAAATAATCCTTCGGACATGTTTTGTTAAGATTGGTTAAATCTACGCACATTCTCCACTTTCCGTTAGATCTTTTAACTAGGACGACGTTAGAGAGCCACTCGGGATACAAAATTTTCTTTATATTTCAACTTTTAAGAGTTTGTTTACTTCCTCAACAATTACATCACTCATTTCCCTATTTACAAGTATTCTTTCTTGCTTGACAGGTCGGAATGACGGATCTATGCTGAGGCGATGAACCATAATTTTTTTATCAATGCCCTGCATGTCCTCGTGTGACCACGCGAACACGTCGGAATTCGCCCTAAGGAAGGAGATCAGCTCCTCCCTATCCGCGGCCCCCAGCTTGGTGCTTGTACTCACTTGTTTCTCTGAGTTGAGTAAGAGGACAAGCTCCAGCTCTTCAGTGGGCGCAGCTACTTCGCGCTGGTTGGTCTTGGGCTGCTCATCCTCGGAAGCTTGAGCTACCAGACTTGGAAGTTTTTCCACCTCTTCCTGGGCGCAGACTGCTGATCCTTTTAGAGGCGAGATATAGCACTCTTGGGACGCTTTCTGTTCACCTTGGATTATGCCAACCCCATTGACCGTGGAGTATTTTATGACTTGGTGCAAGGTCGAGGCGATGACATGCAGTGAATGGATGATAGGTCGTCCGAATATGGCGTTGTAGGCCGACCTACCATCTATTACCACGAACTCGGTCATCTGAGTGATTTGAGTGTCGCCCTGTCGTTGGTGATGGGAAGATCTGTGCATCCTTCTGGGGTGACGGACTCACCTGCAAATCCAATTAAAGGGGTTGGGCTCTTCTTCAGCTGCGCCCTGATCCATCCTAATGCTAAGTACGTGGTGAGAGACGAGATGCTGGCAGAGGCGCCCCCATCCACCAAAACCCTTCTGACCTGAACATGGTCTATCATTAGTGAGATCACCAGGGTATCATTGTGGGGCAAGTGTACCCCTTTCAGGTCGGAGTTGGAGAAGGAGATTGGACAGGTCGGCTTTTGCTCCTAAATGGCACAGGCTTCCCAACGAGCCTCCCTAGCAAGCTCCTTCCTTTTGTTTCCAGACTGACCCTCACTAGGGCCACCGAAAATGGTGTTGATGACAGCAGGTCGGTCATCCCTCTCTTCTTTTTTGCCGGCCGAGCTCGAACCCGGCTTGCCGACGTACTTTTTGAAGTAGCCATCTTGAATCAGGTCTTCCATTTGACGCTTCAACTCCCAGCAATTTGAGGTATCATGGCCGTGATGTCGATGAAAATGGCAGTACCTATCCTTATTGCGCTTCTATGGGTCTCCTCTAAGCCTATCAGACCTCTTGAGGAGTTTCTCCAAACCATTCTCTTGGATATTGTTTTAAATCTCGGAGATCGGAATGGTGGTTGGGGTATACCGCTCGTACGGCCCCCTCCGGCTCGAATCCGAATCGGACCTCCTGTAGTCAGTTCGTCCCTGAGAAGATGACCCCTTGTCCTTAGACTTAGAGTCGAACTTCTCCTTCTCTTGGGCTCCTGACTTTTTTTGGTCGAACCTCTTGTCGGTCTGGCTTAGCTTGGTTATGAGCAGTTCCTGCCCGTCTATAACCTTCTTGGCCTTCTGCAAGACCTCAGTGAGTAAGTAACACATGGCCGAATCATCGAAGCAATGCGTGACCTTGAGTTGCTCCTCTTGGAAACGGGTCACGTATTCTCTTAAAGTCTCACCTTCTTTCTGTCGGATGGTGGCGAGAWGAGTGGCAGTCTTCCTGTCATAGTGCTGAGAAGAGAATTGGCTGATGAACTCTTTCCTCTGCTGACTATAGGTCGAGATCGACCTTGCCAGCAACCTTCGATACCAGAGCCAAGCGCTCCCCGTGAGAGCGATCTGGAAAGCTCGACATTTAATGGCGTCTAAGGCCGCTTGGAAATCCATGAGGCCTTCGAAGACCTCTACATCGTCCTTTGGGTCCTTAGACCCGTCATAATGCTTCATGGTGGGCGTTTTGAACTTTGGAGAAATAGGGGCCTCTAAGATGTCCGAGGTGAATGGTGACTCGCCCATCTCGCCATCATCGAATGGACTCTCCTTTTCTCGCATTTAGCCTTCAATGCCTCGACCTGTTCATCAAACCTGTGCTTCATGAGGTCAAACTCTTCCCTTGTAATCACGGCCTCTGGTGTAACAGGTGTGTACTTCGACTGAGCTTTGAGGTCAGAGTTTGAGTATCCTCGAGAGTAGGATGGAGAGACCCCGGGACCCCTTGAGGCCTTCCTCTTCTTGTCGACAAGGTGCTTCCTGAGATCGTGATCCCTCAGGCTATAGTCAATCCCTTCGTTATTGGCAATGGGCTCACGATCATCAGGGTGGAGAGGTGGATCTTGATCCTCTCCGTCTTCAGGCATATCATCCTCGCCTGGGACTTTGGAGGGAGATCCTACCGATTGGCCCGTGTCATCTCGACATACATGTCCTCCATGGTGCGCACTTGATTGCGCATGTCGTCCAACTCCCGCTGAAGGGTAGCCAGAACTTCAAGGTCCGCGCCAGGGGCAACCCTTCAGGAGGTCTTCTTTGAGGTCCCACCTCGACCTCGGTTGGCTTTTGAAGGTCTAGGGTGAACAGGAGGTAATTCCTGACTCGCATGGCGAGTAGATCTTCGTGGCAATCTCCCTCTTGTCCTGCTCAGACTTGGTCCTCTACTATTATGGTGTCAAGGTCACGCTGAGTGCCATTGTCAGTGTTCAAACCTCTTCGTTCTATCGTATTGGCAGAGTTCGCTGGCTGCACCATTCTCGGATCACTTTTTAGTCGTCGAGATGACTTGAAATGTCCTCCCCACAGACGGCGCCAAATGTTTATGCAAGAATTTGCACAACGGATCTTAAGCTCGAACCTGGTCCTCACTCCAACTCGAAAGACGACGGGAAGACCTACATAAGAGGGCAAAATCTTCGACGCTCAAGTCAGTAAGTAGTTTGGACTCAATATTAAGTTCGAGGAGAAAATCGATACCTGATGGTGAAATGAGGCCCTCTATTTATAAGTTTAGGTCCCGACAGAGGTGACGACAGGCAGTTACCTTGGTAGGTTTTGAGGTCGGACGTGTCGGGCTCGGGTAGGTCGAACTCGGATATTTTCGATGTTGCAGTTCTATTAGGGGTAATGAACTTCCCTCCTCGGAAGGTTCCGAGGAAGAGTTTTGCTGAACAATTCTCTCAAACCATCTCTTCTGACAGCCAATCCCTGTCCTCCACGTGGCAATTGGATATTTTATCCCCGAACATTATCTATGGTCTTGGCATTAGTCATTTTACATGTTAGTTTTGAGATCAAAGCACAAAAGAAACACAAAGTTTATAAAACATGATTCGCGAACACGAACAAATAATACAATAATATAATTAAAGCAAACAAACAACATAAGAAACATGATATACATTATAAGTGAAAACAACAACTCAATCAAAAATTTATATTCACTAAGTTGGATTTATATTTGTTGATGTCAAAATCTGGCTGGTCCACGTATCTTTTGATCGGGGACCATTGAACAAGTTAACTTGCAGCAATAGACCTCGATACCGGTGTAGTACCCTGCCTAATATTCTCCGACGGTCAAATTAGTAAACTTGAAGAGAGGAGGAAGACCGTAAAACACTTTGAATATTGAGTAACACATTTTTCACTTACCCTCCAGTTATAAATATATCATATTTGTATAAATATCTAACTAAAAATATTAATCTAGAAAAAATAAATCTATCATATACACTAGTTTTTTTGGATCCAAATATAGTATTATTTTTTTGTTTACAAAATAAAATTTAGACCATGTCATTTCTTTTCAAGAATACTAGTTAGATTCACCTGCAATGCACGTGGGTTAAAAATTTTAGAATGTAATTTTTTATGATGAAATTTTAAATTTGAATGAAACTATTAAATATTTGACATGTATTTTAAAAATAATCAAAGCAAGAAAATGATAAAAAAAATCATAGATAATTAAAGTTTAAGTGCATATATATGAGAAGAACTTTTCCCATGTTCATAATTAATACTAAAATTCGAATTAATTTTCATTTAAAAATAGTAATATACACATAGAAAAAGTTAAAAATTTAAGAAAAGAAAAATGTGAATTATGCAAATGATGGAATAGTATTAAATGGAATTATAAACAGGTAATTATAGTACAAAACAAAAGTGAAATAGGTAATTTCTTATATTTATTCGAGATATTTTGTGAAAGATCTTATTAAAAAATGATGTAAAATCTTTACTTTAGGAAAAAAAATGCTTATATTATTATTTTTACCATTTTTTTTTCATGGAAGAGATATTGGGTTATATTTTAAAGTTGTAAAATATATTTCGGAAAGAAAGTAATTATTCTAAACTCCTAATTTTTAAATTTCAGTTAAATTTCTGGTTTTTTTTTAATTTTTTGTATGAYTACTTATTTTCAAATATTATCTTCTATTATATTTTACAATTGTTAGTAATATTTTATTTAGTTAATAAAGATATTAAACAAATTGAGAAAAAATAATGATACTGTAAAATTTTACCATTATAAATTTTATGAGAATTTATAATAAATAAATCATCACATTATACAAACTTTGACATAATGATATTGTTGTAGTATTAATATCTATTAAAATCTAGAAATATATATGATTTAGATAAAATAATAAGCTAGTTTGAAATTAAAAAAAAAAGTTTGAAACTTGTTAGTATGAAAAAATTAAGAGGTCGTTGAAGATAATAGAAGAAAAAATAAATTATAAAATTTCAAGAAAATAAATCAAAGAATACAAAATGATCGAAAGATTTACTTTTCATATAATCTCGTGTTCTTGTTCATTTCTTTTTTTGCACGAGAACCTTGAGTTTGTGTTGATTTTCCTTCGTAAAAAAACTTCTTTTGAAAAAAGAATAAAAAATATGTAAACACAATATAAACAGAATCCAAAAGTAGTTAAAACCAACATCAAGTAAGACAGCCATATTAGAATAAATATGAGCGTTCTAACTAAAATATAACATGAATATTTTATATTTTAAAACTTAAAAATAACATTAACTTATATAAAAAATAAAAAATAAAAAATAACATTAACAAAATATCAATTTTACACAAATTTTACTTACTAATTTACATTAATTTTTTTTGGAATGATATGAATTATCTAATGAAAGAAAAAACATTCTCATAGACATTCTTAAGGAAAGGAAAAAAAAAGAAAAAAGAAAAAAAAAGATAGTTTTTATGTATGACTATTTTAGTTTTCTTTTAATTTATAGATGGTTTGCAAATATCACATCTATATGCGAATGAGCGCATCACTTTGTTGAAGAGTTGCACCTCTATTTATTAACTTCTCATTTGAATGTGTGAAAGGATGTGTGACAAAACTCTCTCAGCATCACACCCATATGCAAATAGGCACACCTCTATGGTCTCGATCCTACCGCTTCTAAGAGGGAAGGTCCCCATCCTCCGAAAAAAAAATAGTTTTAATGAACTATTAATAAATTGTTAATTAATGAAAGTGGGAGAACCTAATCTAAGGCCCCATTTACTTACACGCAATCGTAATCAATGAATCGTAATCAAAATTTTGATTTCATGATATTTACGTAATCAAATGGTTGGACCCACCTCAAATTTTGTAATCTCACTATATGAAAAGGTGTATTCCCATTACACATTACACTCCTACAACTCAGCCTCATCATCGGACCCGAGGCCTAAAGGCCGGCCCAGGCCCAGTTCAAGCCCAATCCAAGCTCGATCCAAGGTCAACGTTTGATCGGCCCAGCCCAGCCCAATCCAACCCTTCTATTAATTGGATTGGATATGAATATTCATTTTTTAATTTGGGCCGACCCGTGGTCCAGCCCATTTGAGCCGTATTTGGATTGGCCTGTAGGGCCGACCCAAAAGCCCGATCCAATATTTATTAATATTTATATTATATAATATTAATATATTCTTTTATTATTTATATTATAAAAAATAAATTAGATATGGTAGGTTAAGGATATTTTGTTTCCCCTCTTATAGGTACATATTTCGAAGAGACTACCACCCCCAATATCTCATTTAAATAATTGTTTTCAAACATATTACTAGGAAACTCTTCAACTTCTCAAATTCAAAATTTAAAATTATTTTAAACATATCTTTAGGTTGTAATTTTTCAAAATTTTTAATACAAAATTTTCTTATAAATATCAATCTTGTTTTCTTTTTCTTCACTCAAATTCTAATTCTAATTTTCAATCTCAAATCCTCTCAAGTACCGATTCGGAGGGTTTAAATTTTCAATTTCTCTTGTAAATAGATATAAATTTAATTTTTAAAAATAAAAAATATAATTTTTAAAAATAAGGCAACTTAAATTTATAAAATATGACATAATAAAATTTATTAGTAAGATTATAAAAATAACAAAAAAAATGTACCAAAAATTATATAAAAACACATCTTCGAGAATTTAAAAATAAAAAACTTAGTTTGGAAATTATTTAAATTTTAAAATTTAATAATTAAAAACATATTAATATACGGGCCGATCTAAGGCCGATCCAAGCCCGATCCAACTTTGGCTCATCAACTTAGGCTCATGAATTGGGCTATGAGCCTAGGTTTGAGTGGTTGGGCCGACCTAAGCCCGGCCCAAACAATACTTGAGGCCCGCAGGTCTTGGGCCATTACTTCTTTGGGCTGGGTCGGGGCTGACCTACAATCCCATCTTATTTTGATTTCTTATTCCGTGAACCCCATGTATATATTATAATTAATGTACCACTTTTACCTTTTCTCCCTCATCTATGGATTAGATCCATATAATTTTTAATCACCTGAATTTATGAATTTGTTTTCCATCGGAGGGAAAAAAGTGCTTATTAAAGCAGTTGTAGTGAGGCTATCCCTTGCTATACTATATCATGTTTTCGGTTGCCGAAAAGGTCTATTAATG